TTTTTGGTGCTTCCAAGATGGTATGATCTGGGGGAGAGGTGTGATCACTGCTCTCCTGGTCTGCACTCTGGTTTTTCCCCAGGAAGCCACAAGCACTAGCACAGTTCTAGTGCTCCTCTCAGAACTGCAACCAAGGCTCTTGCTTCTTTGTGACCAACCACAAGCACTCCTCTCTGCCCTGGAACTTTAACCCAGAATTTCATATGGGCAATAGAGTCGCCAATCAACATTACCTATACTCAGTGCCAGCAAAGGATCCCCTGTAATCTCTTGCTGAGCAATTGTGTGACCCCTGTGGTCTGAGAGCCCCTGAAGTTGCTATTGCTGCCAATGTATGAGCACACTCTAGAAGTCCCCACTCTAGTGTCCCAGACCTTGCCTGCCGACCTCCAAAATTTTGTTAGGCTGGTAACATGTCTCATCCTGACCCTTTGTTGCCTCTGCCACTCCAAATTTTTATTTGAGGTGTTATTTTAAAGTTGTTTGGAGAGTAGTGTTGAGAGGTCTCAGTTGGTTTCCTGCTTCTAATCCACCAGCTTGACTCTAGGATCCTTTTCTTTTAAACAAAAGACTTCATTAGTCCTCTATTCTCCAGGAAGGTAAGAACCAGAAAGCAGGTAGATAGAAGGTGAAAAAAAGGGAAAACAGGAGAAATTCTGCTTCAATTCGTACTTGGTATTTATCAGACCAGCATTTTTCTGTTTTTTCTGTGGAAGAAAATAGCCCAGGAAATTCAAGTCTATTGTTCGTGTAAGAGCAACATAATTCCACATCTCTTTTTACTGTTGCATGTCCCTCTGCACAACTTCTTTCATGGGATTTTTGCCTCTATATATGCTTGCCTCCTCTCTCATTTTGGCTCGTCCAAAGACAGAATCAGATTAACCTGAAGTGGTAACTCACTCATTGTCTTATGAATAATGGTAACTTTATTTTTCCAACTTTGCAATTGGTTAAAGAGACCTTATCAACAAATAAAAGTCTCCTTCAGCAAACGAGTAAAGTAATTGAGGAGCCCATAAAAAGCAGAAAAGGGGAAGCTAGATGAAGTTAAAACAAGTTTTAGCTTGAAGTCACCATTGATCTCCACAGTAAATACTAAAAGTTAACAGGTTTATTAGCCTCTGTTTGGTTGTAAATCATTACTACTGCCTTCTTTTCACATCTACCAGTCCTTTCTTAGCCATGTACTTCCAGTAAAACACTCAGGTTGGGTATTTTTGAAGACAAACAGGCTTAGGCCTTATTCAGATTCTAAACTATAAGTGACACCATCACTTGGGCTCAGCTGAAAATTATACCAGAGACGTAAACAATGTGACTCCCAAGAGCCATCACTTTGGTTGTGTGAAATATCACCTGCCTCATTTCTGTGGATGAAGAAAATAAGAATGGTGAGGGAAATAGCTCCAAGTTAATAAATCTACATTACATAGAATATTTCATCAGTAAATACTGGCCAGTTAAAAAATCCATCTATAATGAAAACTCAGCTATTGGGGCTGAATAAACATCATTTCTGAGATGTGACTACATTCCAAATTGCACCTCTGTACTTGGATAGAGCATTGGCTAGACTGGGGATCAGGAAGATCAGAGTTAGAATCTTGACTCAGACCCTAACTGTGACTCAAGACAAGTCACTTAACCTCACTAATTCTCTGTTGTCTCATCTACAAAATAGGGATTACACCTGAAGTTTTTATCTGATAGTTGTGACTAAGTAGTAAATGAAAGTTTGTAAGGTACTTTGCAAATCTTAAAACATCATAGAAATGTCAGTCCATAATAATGGTAGCTAATATTGTATAAGGCAGCTAGGTGTCTCAGCAGATAAAGCACCAGGCCTGGAATAAAGAAGCCTCATCTACCTGAACTCAAATATGGCCTCAAACACTTACTAGCTGTGTGACCCTGGGCAAATCACTTAAACCTATTTGCCTCAGTTTCCTCATATGTAAAATGAGCTGAAGAAGCAAATAGAAAACCAATCCAGTATCTTTGCCAAGATAACCCCAAATGGGGTCATGAAAAGTCAGACATGACTAAAGAACAACAAAAAAAAAATTTGTATAATAATTTAAGATTCACAAAGTCTCATATATGTCATCTGATTTGATTCTCACAACAACCCTGTGAGTTAGGTTCTTTTATTGTACCTATTTTACATAAGAGTTTTACTGGGTCATAAAAAGGTTAAGTAATTTGCTGAAAATCGCAAAACTAGTGAGGGTTTAAAGCATAATATTCCTAAGTCCAAGTCTAATACCTTAGATACTTCATCATGATGAAGATAAAGATGATGGTGGTGATGATGACAATGATGATGACAACTTAGCAAGTTGGATAAATCTCTATTTGGAGACCCTAGCTTTCTGAGGAGAAAAAACAGCTCATTTTTGTCAATTGGCCATCTTAGCTCGCCAAGAAAAATCACACGTTAACTCAGAAACCTCATTAAACCTGGAATAAAAAAAGTCATCGAGAAGTCTTAAAAATTAAAATGAAAATATGAAATGTGCACTCAGGTCTGACATTTCCTACAGCTGATACTCATAAGGACAGAGAGACACAGTTCAGATAAAATCAAATTTAAATTTTTAAGATAGTATTTTGAAAAGGAAGAGAATTCATTACAGTGCTATGATGTTGTAGAAATTGGAATATGGCCTTGTCTTGATGTTCTGGAAATCCAGAATGCTTGGATCAAATAATAACCTGGCACAAAAAAGCTGATTCAGGCAGACCTGATAAATTATCCAGCTTCCTTATTCATCCCCTTTTCACCTTCTTCCTGCTGCCTCATGATACACTGGAAACGAAGATTGCCATTACTCAAAGATCCAACCTTAGTAGAGCTGCCTCATTCTAGCTCTCCCAGTTGTCCAGTTCATAACTTCCCTGGGGCCAAACATTGTAAGCTTCATTCTTTTTCTAATTAGCTGAGGGCAGCAAGTTAGAACAAAAATAAAAAGGCAGTTATAATATCAACAAAGGAGTTATTTAAAGCAGAAAAAGCAATAATGTCACTGGGAAGAAAAAACAACAACAAGATTTGTGATAGGTATGCCCTAAGGTGGATGATGAAGAGCTGACTATATTCCTCACTACTTCACTGATCTCCATAAATCCTCTTGGTATCCGCAGGGCCCACACATCTATTTCCATCAAGATCCCAAGGTAATTTATTATTAGCAAAGAATTAATGGACACTTGGAAATATAATGTTAGATCTTTTTTTTCTTCTACTCAGCTCCATTTCATGCACCAGCTCAGGCATTAAATCTGTCATGGAAGAAGTCCATGTGCTACTTTGTCACGTAATGCATTTTGATCAGGGGCTACTGGGAGAAAAGAAAAAAGAACAGTCCTTAATGACTTTTATTTGAAACAGAATGTCAACAAAATTCAGGAACAGTGTAAGACAGGGGAAAAGACTCAGCAAAGTACTGTTTTGCAGTACACTCAGTGCATTTCAAAATGGACCCGTCCCGAGAGGCATCTATCACTAACTGGCAGTTTCAGTGGGACTTACAAAGCTCTGCTTTCCTGCCCTGTGCTTCCTCACACTGGTGATAAGAAGATATGGGAAACAATTGGTGTGTCAATAAATCAAGTGGATTTTCCATTCTCGTAGAATAGTCATCTCTCTTTCCTTTGGGCTTCTGAAATCCAAGGCAATGGGCTTGAGACAATAGAAAAATACTGAACAAAAAGCTGGATACAATCCATTCTTCCCACAGTAATTGAGCCCTAGTGAGAAAACAAATAATCTAGCATCCAACCAGCCAAGGGAAAAAGATCCACCACCACCGCTGAGGTGGGCAAAAGAGAGAAGAAGAAACTCTGAAGATGTTGAAAGGAGGCATTATTTTCCAAGGCATTTAAAACAAAAAAAATGACAAAATGTTTTCAATGTTTTCTTTCCTCAATACATTGCTATATGGAACAATGAATTTGATGAAAACAGAGAAATATGGGAAGATTTTTATGAAGTAATTCAAAATGAAGTAAGCAGAACCAGGTAAACAATATATTCAATCATCATAATCATGTAATTTTTTAAAAATGAAGTAGAAGTTGTATAATTATGATGAAAAAATTCAGCCCTAAAGAAGAAATTTGAGATTGTACTACTCCTCCTTCTTGGCAGAAGAAGGGAAACTCTGATAGTGAGACGTTGCATATGATCTTTGGACGTGGTTGATATACTGAGTAGTTTTACACAGTTGCTTTCTTTTCTTCTTTCTTTTTTTATTCTTTATTATAAGAAATGGCTCTCAGTGTAGGAGGTAGGGGAACTATTGAGAAATGACAGTGATATAAAAATCAAATGAGAGCAATAAAAATTCTTAATTTTTTTTTCTCTTTCACAAAAACCAGTAGTGAAAAGAACAAAGATATGATTTCAGCAGAAATGGGATGGTAAAGAAAAATGGCACACTCATCTTGTAGTCCCTGCAAGGAAGGATCTGAGGCAAGGAAATGAGAATTAGCTTCAATTCTTATCCAAGGACTATCCTTCAAATCCCCGAGGGTCAGGCAGTGTTTAGAAGTTCCTGTTACATATGTGAGCCCAGGAAGTCAGAAAAGCAAAATGACCGGCCCATTGTCTCATGAGCCAGAAAGCAAGACCACAATATTTCTCTTGCTAGCTTTAAATAATTTTCCACCCGATTTACACATTGAATAAATTCACAGCTCGTTTGACAGTATTATGTGTCCAATGGCCATATTTGGCAGCTCCTGAACATACCAACGTACTGCAGATACCTTGCCAACTCGTTGGGAAAGCAGAAAGCATGCTCTATCTGGTCTGATATCTGCAGCCTCCTCAACAGAGCTCAGAATTTCCCCATTAGATTACTGGCAAAGTGGCTTGCTTTCCCTGCTGTCAAGGATATCTGTTTCATATAGAAGACCCTTTTGTCACCCACCTTCTTTCCTAATGGGCCCCCCTACAACATTAGTGCTCTCCTTCACTTAGCTGGCCATGATACCTGTTCACAAATGATACCTATCCATGGAAAGATCCGTGATTTTGACCAATGAAGTCCCAGTATGAGTACTCCCTTCAGCCTCCATCCACCAATCAATCTATGACTTAATGATTAAGTCTGAGAGTATTACCTGAGAGACATAGAAAAGAATAATAATGAGCATTTATATAGCCCTTTAAGTTTGCAAAATGTTTTGTGTATATTCCCTAATTTGTTCCTCACAACAACCCTGGTGCCATTATCATCCTCCTCTTATAGATGAGGAAATTGAGGCAAAAAAGATTAAGTGACTTGTTCAAGGTCACACAACTAGTGTCTCAAGCAGAATTTGAATTCAGTTCTTTTTGACTCCTCGTACAGCATTCGATCCACTATGCCACCCATTATCTTCAATAATAGCTAACAACTAGATGACATTTTAAGGCTCAAAAGGCACTTTACATCTTATCCTTTCATTTGATCATCACAACGACCCTGTAAGGTAGGTGCTATTTTTATTCTCATTTGACAGAGGAAGAAACTGAGGCTGAGAGAGGTTACGTGAGTTACTCAGGGCCATACAGCTGGTAAATGAGACTTGAACCGAGGTTTCCTTGACTCCCAGTGCAGCACTCTTTCTCCTTGTGATGCATGAAAAGTTCAAGAGACATAGTTCTTGGGTAATTAATAATTTCATTAATTATGGCTAGCAGTTAATGAATAAAATGGTCATTGGCTTTCTCTTGTAAACTAAAATAACTTCCTGGAGAATATTGAATGTTTAAAAAGCCTTTGGGAAACGGAGTGTCCCTGAGGATGGAAATCAATTCTGATTGGTTAACAATCAATGAGGAGGTGGACTAAGGGTCTTCCGCAGCTCCTGCAGAGAATGTGACCTAATCAGGAGACCCAGCCACCTCCAGCAATCTGGGCAAAAGAATCCATCTCCACCCAGACCCCACTGGTTGATTTGCCCCTTTGTAAGCTGGGCCATGCTAAGTTCTAATGGAAGGCTCCAAAGACAGACCCAGGCTCGTTTCCTAAGGGCAAGATCTTGCTTAGACTGGATTCTTTTGTAAGGTCTCCTAGTTGCGTAGAGGCCTATCCAAGATTGAAAAGTATGTATCCTGGGGATTTGGGCAATCTCATCTATCAGTAATGTCCTTCAGAGGCTGACCAAATAACCTACAGGGACTGATTTCTGAATGAGGAAATAGAAAGGGAAAAGCTTTAGTCCTAATTTAACAATTGGTTATTAATATAAGAGAGAAATAATCATTGTTCTCATCCTTTATCTCTAATGTGAAACAACTAATATGAAGGAAAAAAAATTGGCCGGAGGGGAGAATAAGAGGCAGCTTGATGCAAAGGAAAGAACTTGTAAACATGGGGTATGAGTTCAAATTCTAGTTCTGCTTCTTACTACCTGTGTGACCTTGGGCAAGTCAATTAACTCCTCTCAGACTCAATTCCTCATCTGTAAAATAAGAGATTTGGTCTAGATAGCCTCTGAGGTTTGGGGGTTGCTTTTTGTTTAAGGAGTAGGGGAGGTATCAACATGTGGAGTATGAGGATGTATCTCTCCAGGACCTCATTTGCAACACCCAAGAGGCAATTAGACACAGTGCTTATGCTCACGGGAGAGAGGAGCTGGATGTGAAGAGCAGTACATTCTTTTATTACTCTGTACCTTCCCAGGTATGACAAAGGAATGAGGTCCCTTATCGATTTGGATCTCTGATCCTGTAAATAATGCTTCTTTGAGGAAAGCACATAATCACAAAACCACATTTCTGAATGATTTTTAATTGATATCTTCTGTTTTTACATCACCTTCATTTTAATAATAATACAATAGCTCATATATTGCATGTTAAGATTTGCAAAACAGGTTACTCATTATCTCATTACAGATAGGGATAGAGATAGGGACAGGGATACGGATACAGATACAGTGTATGCCTTCAGAGAGTTTCCATTTTATTGGAGGCCCGAGATAATAAGGTATGCTGGGAGGGTGTCGTCTTTCAAAGCAACCAGATCATCCTGTGGGTGATCTATAGGTGAACAAAAGTTCGTCTCCAGGAGGAATTTGCTGACGTGCATGGAGATTGTATGGCTATAGGTATAAGCATAGACAGCAGTATGCTATTAAAACTTTAACAACTGTCTCAATGGGGGGGGGGGAAGTACACCTGACCCTGACACACTTTTAAATCCAAATTGCATAATTAACACTATTTTTAAGTCTGGAAGATCAATAAAACAATAAATCAAGTCCTAGTTTATAGCATTTGTCAATTTCTGAAGTATAAATGATCACATGGAAATTTAGCAATCAAGTCTCTCAAGTTGATTAAGGCTGGTTCCAGGATCCTCAGGACTATATAAGTATAGATATAGGCATAGATACGGGCACAGATAGATATAAATATAGCTATATGTGTATAGCCAGAGACATAGGCATAGATAGGTATAGGTATAGATATACATATAGATGGGCAGGGACGTGGCACAGTGGATAAAGTGCCTAACCTAGACTCAGGAAGGGTCACAGACAAGTATGAAAGAGGAGAGGATGGATGGATATGCTATGATAATTCGGAGAAGGGAGGCTATTTCTGCTTAACTGGAAGGGGGGAATCACTTAACAGGACACTGGAAGTAGACTTTGAAGGATGGTAGAAATTGGACACATAGAGCTGGAGAAGACAGAGGATAGAAACAATAGAACATCTGAAGCAAAGAAAAAGGCACCATGAAAATCCAGCCTTAGACACTTACTAGCTGTATGACCCTGGGCAACTCACTTCACCCTGTTTGCCTCAGTTTCCTCATTGGGAAAATGAGCTGGAGAAGGAAATGGAAACCACTCCAGCGTCTTTTGCCAAGAAAACCCCAAATGGGGTCACAAAGAGTCAGACATGACTGAAAAGACTGAACAACAAATAGGTATAGGTATTCTTTTAGCACTGTATAGGAAGTCATTCCATTCACAAAAAGCAATCAGATTGCCAGCATGGGGTACTAACACATAGAATGCTCTTTGTCTTGCTCAGCCTCCACTGAAGTTCTACTTTGATGCCTCATCTTGGTAGGGAGAAGACCCTGGCTATTCAGTTGGAGGGCTAACTGTGCTAAGTCCCAGGAAAGTGGCAAAGCATTGAGTAAGGTTTGCATCCCTGCTGTCCAAGGGCCAGCCTACTTACTTTCAGAAAGACTTATCACCAGATTGGCTGCACAGTGATAAATGTGAAGGCCAGAACAACTCCTAAAGATCATCTGCTAAGTTATAAAGGAGGAGTTTTTATTTATACCAGAAAAAAGCAAGCACTTAACCTATATACAATTATAAACCTTTGCAATACTGAAATGGCTAATTTGAACACTAAGTCAATAAAACATATTTAGGACGTACAGTCAATCCATCAAATGTGTATTAAAATCCTACTATGTGTTAGTGCTGTTCAGTCATTTCAGTCGAGTTCGACTCTTCATCCCACAATGCCTCTCAATGCCCAGCCAACCAAATCCAGTAAGCATTTTTAACTGCCTGCTATTGTACAGCATTCTGAAAGGCATTGGGAGTACAAAGACAAAAGGAAAAGTCTATGCCTAATCTCAAGGAGCCTACATTCTGCAAGAGACTTACATGCTATTAGTAAGGATCTAACCCTAGATAGCTTTTTTTTTAAATCTGCCACATCAAACTCACTTATATTAAACATGTGCTTAACTAAAACCCCAACATCTTTTCATTTTATTTTTTTGGAAGCAGGGAGGCAATTGAGGTTCAGTGACTTGCCCAGGGTCACACAGCTAATAAGTGCCAAATGCCCAAGGCTGGATTTGAACTCAAGTCCTCCTGACTCCAGGGCCAGTGCTCTATCCACTGCACTACCTAGCTACCCTCCAGTATCTTTTTCAAAGGAGCTTCTGTCAAGTTAAGTCTCTCCCTTCCTGTCCTTGTATAACCGATTTTTTGATCCTATGTTCAAAACATTATACTTGGTTTCATTTCAAGATTCTAGCCAGTGTCAAGATCCTTTGTAACCTTAATTCTATCATCTCACTTTGTTATTCAGTTGTTTTTCAGTTATGTCCAACTCTTCATGACCCCATTTGAGGTTTTCTTGGCAAAGATGAAGAAATGGTTTGCCATTTCCTTCTCCAGCTTATTTTGTAGATGAGAAAACTGAAACAAATGAGGTTAAGTGAGATGGCCAGGGTCACACAGTTAATAAGTGCCTGAGACCAGATTTGAGCTCAGGAAAATGAGTCTTCTGGACTCCAAGCCTGATACTCTGTCCACTGTGCCTCCTAGCTGCTCCATCGCACTAGACTGTAAGAGTCATATGGTCAGGGTCTATTTCTTATTCTCAGAAAATCCCATAAAATGTCTAACATAAAATCTTCTATATAATGAAACCTCAATAAATATTTGATGAACAAGGAATAATCCTAGCCCTCAAAAGTAAATATGAGAAATGGTAGGCACAAATAATCAGGATATAAAATAGAATGTGAAAGAGGAGAGGACGGATGGATATGCTATGATAATTCAGAGAAGAGAGGCTATTTCTGCTTAAGTGGAAGAGGGGAATCACTTAACAAGACACTGGAACTAGACCTTGAAGGATGGTAGAAATTGGACAAGCAGAGACAAGACAGAGGATAGAGACAACAGGACATTTGAAGTAAAAAGAAAGGCACTATGAAAATATGAAATATAAATATGGAAATATACTCTTGCCCCTCTCCAATTAATCACAGAAGGCCCAGACATTTTGATTGAATCAAGCAGTCAACCAAAAGTATATTGGATATGAAGTCCTTAATCAATTTAAAAGACTCATAGGGGCTCTGAGTTATTGGATGGAAACAGATGATACCATACAGGAAGTATCTTGTGATTGGTCAAAGAGAATCAATCATGCTTCTTGAGGCCATGTCTAAGTTCAGAGACAATCAATCAAGTGATGGTCAAATCCATTGTTGCATGACTTCTGGGAGGTAAATGCCCTTGAGAGGAAGGGTAGGAGGATGGAGGTTCTCTCTTATTGGATAACAACTCTGTGAACTTCAAAAGGTCAGAAGATCTGGAGTTCCCATCAGAATCTACAGCAGTTGCTAATGACAGTATGTGGAACT